CGTGTGCTCTTCCGATCTAGCATCTGACAATTATGTATGTAACAAAAACTGATACCTGAAAAAAGAAATTAAGACCAGAAAGAAGGAAAGAAGAGTAAGCGTTTTGAAACGAAGAGAATTAAATTCGTTGGTCTTTTATAAAATATTACATGTCGCTTCACCTTCGTGTGTTACATATGTAATTGTCAGATGCTGTGTCTAATTATCACAGCGAATAATTAGACAATAGATACAGCATCTGATAATTATGTATGTAACAAAAACTGATACCTGAAGGAAGAAAGTAAGACGAGAAATGGAAGTTATCGACTTAACATGCCTCTTTTTAGATAGGATATAAGATATATGTAAGAGATATATAAAAGTAATGAGATATTTAATATGATTTTGTATTTGTGCGTGCGTGCGCGCGCGCGCGCGCGCGCGTGCGTGTATGTGTGTGTGTGTGTGTGTGTGTGTGTGTGTGTGTGTGTGTGTGTGTGTGTGTGTGTGTGTGTGTGTGTTATGTTTCAGGGATAGTGAATAAAGAGCGCGCGCAAAGCGTGCGTTTTGTTTTGTTCTAGTACAATTAAAAAATTGAGATTATAACGTGTACTAGTTTATACATATAAAACGTAGTTTGGCAGAAAAATACCATAATAACATTTGAGCTCTGTGTTTAGACATATATCTTTTATAAATAAATATATGATTCAAGAATAGCAAATAGCTCCAAAGGGCGAAATACCGTCAAGATTAATTTTTCGAAAGGTCACGCTATCGGATTTTGCGTTAGAACTAGGTCATATACTCACGTTTTATTTTCGACGATCTCCGTGAGTGTTTGTACGATAGAGTTTTCGGTTATGGTGTCGATGTCCAGTGTCAGTCCGATACCGGCGTCTAGGATTTTACGTGCATTGAAATACTGATCCCCAAAAAAGGGAATTGCGACTACAGGTACGGCATAGTGTACTGCTTCTTGCAAAGACTGCAATCCGCCCTGCATCATGTACGCAATCACCTTGGGATGCGCTACATATATAAAAGCGATGTAAGTACATAAAGTATCGTAAAATGATGCTTTGCGGATTATTTGCTTTTGAGAATTACTACGAGAGGAGCGACACACTGGTAAAAAAAACGTGATGGAGAAAGAGGAAAAAAGGAAGAGAGAGAGAGAGAGAGAGAGAGGGGGGGGGCAAAAAGAGAAAGAGTGATGAAAAATAGAAGCAAAGTTCTAACGTTGATTACGAGCAACGCGAGAGATGCAACGCGAGATTTCATAAAAATGTCCGCATTGTCGTATTTATTTTTTCGCGTCGCTCTTTACGGCCGATTGATCGCATTCGAGTATCAACGCGCGCGGGAATTTTCCGCGAAATCCTGCTCGATGTGCATATGCCAAGAAATGAAATTTTTTTATTATATATAACATGCGCTAATCAATTCTCAAAGAACACATTTTATTTGGGAAAATTTGTGTAATAATTAGACATGTTTTTTTTTTAATGTAAAAGCCCCAACAAATTTTTTACATTGAAGTGAAAAATTTTTCTTATAAATTAATTTCCAAATAATAAAATTAATAATAATAGTAGAATAAAACGAATGTCAGTTTGGTGCCCAATAATATTTTTGCGTGAATTTGTAGATGTTTTCCAGTTCATGCAAACTGCACGCCGATTATTTGTTCACTCTTGAGAAACAATTCTAAAATTGTAACCGAAGTTGTAATATCATGAATTAAATTGAGCAGCAATTTAATAATATTGATGCTAATAAGCATCTTAAAATATTGTAAAGAACTCATTGCAAAATATAATTAATATAATAACGTTATTGTTCATTTAAAATTAAGGATAGGAATTTGTTATTAAAATTGAATTTATACATAGAGATATTTTTGTGTGCGATATTACGTGTAATATGAGTATAATATGAATATCGAGAGTAAATCGAGTACTGCAGAAACGCGCGCAAAAAATATTATATATATCGAGTCGTAATACATCGATAATCCCGAAGTTTCGGTATAATTGCGTCGTTTCTTCCAGTCACCATTCGTATTCCCAGCACTAATACATTCTTCGTGCCGGCAACCGCACGCCTGTCTATCAACGTGCATAAAACTTTGTGCACGCTTGTGCATTTGCATCGAGCCCAGTTGCGTTACTGCCAACAGGAGTTGTTTGTCAGAATTTCCCGCGAGAATTTCACCGCCGCATGCGTCATGAGTTATCGTTTCACTTCATTCCGCCATACTATAGTCCACGGCTTGTATTTTCCTTGGTCGCAGCAGTGTTGTTGGCAATTCTTTTTTTTTTATTTATTCCGATACTTACCCTTAAGCGACTTTCGCAAAAATAACGCGTTTCAACTGTCCAAAGGCGAGGGCCTGGTATCGACGTGTGCATCGGCCTTTCTTATATTCTACGTTACTTTTCTCTTTGATGTGACGCGCGCGTGCAAGAGAGAGAGAGAGAGGGAGAGAGAGTGAGAAGGAGGGAGGGGGGAGAGGGAGGAAGGCAAACATTGGTCGAATTCAAACATACCGAGTAACGCGATCTCGATCGGTAGACAGCTTTGATGATCATTTCGAAACGTGGCATGCAGTGATGCTGGTTTCGATCGCTAGGACTTTGTTGGATAGAAATCCAGCCGCGTCTCTCTCTCTCTCTCTCTCTCTCTCTCTCTCTCTCTCTCGATATAAAGGAAATTCGTTTCGTCTCTGAAGTCTGGTTTTAAGTGATGCCGGAATAACGTGATCACAATGTGACCGTGTAATTAAATCCGAATCGTTTAAAGATTCCGGACCATGAGAAAGATTAGTTCAAAGAAATGTTGCGCCTAGTTGCGCCTATCGAGGAAAATTATAA